CCTAACAACGAAACACAAAGATATTGGTTTGGGTGTGTTTGTCCCCGACGTCTACTCCGAGACATGCGTAGCGATACACAAGGGCGGCAGAAGCTTCGCAGGAGCGAGTAGAGTGCGCGGACTGTCGTGGTGGCACCGACTCAGCCAACCTGGTGTTTCTCCCCCGCGCTAATAGGCTTGGAGGACAGCCATGACAACACCTCCCCGGTGGGCTGGCGAGAGCCCCAATAGAGCAAGTTTTCTTGCCCCTGCGACCTGGTCCCTGGAGGCGGTGGGCAGGGAAGGTTGCTATCGAATAGAAAGCAGCCCGTCGTCGCGAGCACGTTTTTTTTTGCCTCGATGGAGTCCAGGCCCGGTGGTGGTTGTTGGCTTGTATTTAGCGGCAGGGGTACGCTGGCTTCGACGCTAAGCGGGGACCGCAGCCAATCACGACGCGGCGTCACCGACCGAACGGGCAATGAGGGGCAGGGCAAGCGGCCGGCGTGTGGGGTTTGGGGCGGGAAACTTGCTCAAATGCCCGCAAGAGCAGATGAGGAAGGACCCAAGATTGGGGGAGTGGGATGGATGGACGGTGAGGGGTTGGGAGGTGTCCATGGCTCTGGGCCGTTGGGAAGATTTCCTCGGTCTGAATTTCCTACTTGGTGATTCCTGGGGCGCCTGGTCTGGCCTAGCTTCTCAGAGGCCGGGATTGGCGCGACCTTGGTCCGTGCATGGACCCTTTCAGCAGCTCGGGGAAAACGCCAGCTAGTGAAAAGACGCGCCGCCGGTCTTGGCGCTCTCCCGGCCCCCGTGGCGGGACGGAACCATGCGAGGCTGCCGATCCACGATAAATGCTACCGCCGCTTGCGTCCGGGTGCTTGGGCCAACGGATCCGGAGAGGGTGCTCGGCGCTTGGCTGATTGCCGAAATATCGCAAGAGTTCCTAAACCACCGATGAAGGCTAACTACTTGTTAGTTTTAGGATTGGTGTGCTCATTGAGAATCTCATAATAAATACGATTATATGCTGATCTGATGATGACTCTAAGACGGTTGATTTTCTAATAAAATGACCATTGCTGCTAGTTTGCACACTCGAATCCGAGAAAGAAAGATGCCTGGGACTTCAAATATTTAGCGTTATGTTTTTAGCAAAAAAGAAATACCAGAAGCTAGATATGTTATTGTTCTTAGCCGGCAGATTGGCCGATTGAAAGTGAGGGGTTGTGTGGTGAGCCCCTAACAATATCCCGAAGGTATCGGCACTTTTTCGACAAGAAAAGGCTAAACTACGACTTGTCGCGACGATGCCATCGGACTAGTCGCTCTCAATGTCTGGTATTCATCCCCCGCCATCTCCTTTTGATGGTTGATTTTAGCCGCCCTGCACCTGCCATCGCGTCGCTGTTGGTTTGCCCCTCTTTTTCCTAAATGGCATGCTTATAATAAACTGAAGTTGGAGCCAATACCGGATCCGGGCCCGAGTCGGCACCGCTGTAGACCTTACATGTCTTCAAGTGGGCAGTGTATTGTGACTGGTGCACTAACTCGGGCCCTGTAACGGCTGCGGAGCGTCCAAAATCGGCAGCAGCCATCACAATAAGCTTCCCAGAGCGGAAAACACGCGCACAAGCCAGGGTCGACGAGGTGCGGATCCCTGGACGCGGTGCCGGCGTTGCATAAATTACCCCGGATACCCCATACCAGATACTGCGGGTTGTTCCTGGCACCTGCATATCCATGTACGGATGCTGGCAGGTCCGCCGACTGGTCCGGAGCACGCACACGCACACGCACACGCACACGCACACAAAGGCGCGGGTGGGGACCACTCAGCCTGATCTGCAGGGCAATCAAGAAAACTGCTGCCGACGAGCCCCTAGCGCCGGAACCTCCCTCCGAACCAAGGTGGCACAGAGAAAACCCACCACCGAGATGGCGGCGACGCGGTCACGGGAAGCTGACAGCCGGCCTTGACGTTCTATTTTCCTCCCAGCGTCACCGGCTGTAGGGGTGGGGAGAGGGGTGGGATGACGTGACTGGACGGGGCCGGCACTCCCATTGGCGTCTTCGTATATTCGTCGGCCTTGGAATGAGGCCCCAGGCAGCATGGGCTTCTATAAAAGAGGGCGTAGCCTCCGTGCCGTCCCGGGTCCCGCCTTCGGTGAATTGAGCTCCCCGAACCTTGCGGCCTGTTCCTAGCCCTAAAAGTCGAGTCTAGGAAAAGCCCATAGCCATTCTTGAGCGCCTTGCTCGCTTCAATATGCGATTCTCGGCAGCGATCCTTGCCCTGTTGGGGAACGGGGTTATCACCTTTGGCCAAGCCATAGCTCCCCCCGATGCTGACGGCCGCTACACAATCAAGGCCAAGGGGATCAAGGCACAGGTGAGAATGAGAAAGGATCGGATGTGGGGGTTGGCGAATGGCGGGAAAGCGCAACAAGTTTCTGACTGATGCCCTCTGCAGTTCATCCCCTACGGCGCAACGCTCACCAACCTTTTCGTCAAGGACAAGAACGGAAAAGATGTCGACGTCGTGCTTGGATACGACAACACTTCTTACTATCGTAAGTGGGGAGTGAGGGTCAGAGGAGGTGTCCACAATGAGCGGCTAGGTGGATTACAGGCGCTTACTTCAGAAATCAACACGTAGCCGTCGACCCGGGCCACCCGGTCCTCAACGCGATCCCCGGCCGGTACGTCAACCGCATCGGCGGGGCCAACTACACCATCGACGGCCGGGTGTTCCAAACCGAAAAGAACGACGGCGCGAACACGCTGCACAGCGGGACCAACAACTGGTCGTTCCGCTTCTGGGACGTGTCGGCCTTCACGCACGACTCCATCACCTTCTCCATCCTCGACAAGTCCAACTCGTCCCAGGGCATGCCGGGCGACGTGCGCGCCAGCGTGACCTACAGCGTCGGCGACGGCGGCGTGTGGAACATCTGCATGGAGGCGGCGTCGCCCCAGGCCAAGACGCCGCTCATGCTGACGCAGCACACCTACTTCAACCTCGACGCGTACCGCGGGCCTGCCCGGATCTGGAACCACACGCTGCACCTGCCCTACTCGCGGCGGTACCTCGAGAACGACGACGGCGCGCTGCCGACGGGCCGGATCCTGGCCGCCGAGCCCGGCTCCATCAACGACTTCGCCTCCCGCCCGGGCCTGCAGTTGGGCCACTCGAGCGGCAGCCCGCAGTTCCCCGGCAACTGCGGCGCCGGGGGCGCCTGCGAGGGCTACAACGGCTTCTGGCTGGTCGACGGGGCGCCCCGAGGGGCCGTGGTCGCGACGCTCGCGAGCAGTTTCTCGGGGGTCAAGGCCGAGCTGCGGACAGACCAGCTGGGGCTGCAGGTCTACACGTGCAACTGGTTCGACGGCACGAGCTCGCTCAAGAGCACCCAGGGAACCGCTAGTGTCAAGACGGTCGGGCGGAGCTCGTGCATCGCCATCGAGGCGCACGATTATGTTGATGGCATTAACCAGTTGAGTTTCCAACTCAGAAGCTGCTTTCCTTTCGCCAAGGCAAATAATTTCACTGACCGCAATCCTTGATTCAACTGCAGCCCTCAATGGAACCGCACCGAGGCGCAAATCACCGGCCCCGGTGAAAAGTACACTTGGGAGGCGTCCTGGACGTTTTCGCGCCTGACGAAATGGTGATGAGGGAACCCTGCGACCATGACAATGTCCATGGGTGGTTCTGAAGCCTGCTGTATCCGGAGTACGCGATGCCCCGGATAAAAGAGATATCCGAGGTAGAAAAAATTCATCCGGGTCTCAAAATCCGAGTTCAGGGCAGAATTGCTGCGGAGTTTGTGTCTAATACTGCCCCTTGGATCGTAAGAGCATGTAGTCCCTGTAAGCCATTGGCAGGTACCCGGCGCGATTGGTGGTACTGATGCATGATGGGAAGCATTCAACCATCGCTTCTGGGTCTGGACTGTTGAAGTACACGATAGAGTGGCGGGGTGGGGTAGTGTCGGGGTCTTGGGCGGGGGAGCCATCAACATTTGCCGCCGGTTTGACCACACGGTGTAGGGTTGATTTGAGGCGATCTGTTGGATGAGCATACACTTGTTAGGAATCAAGGCCTCTGCTGCCGCCGGAAACGAAATATCGGGGTCATCTTACTGTTGGTCCACCTCATCAGGCTGTCGCCGACATTCATGACCATCGCCCCCTTTATAGGGGTTGCGTCCACAAACGTGTTTGGCGCCGACGGATTCTCGACCTGCAGGCCGCCGCAGTCATCCTGGAACAGCATTGTCAGAGTCCCCCAGTCCGTGTGAGCAGGCATGCGCGTAATATCGCCTCGCTCGAGCGCCGCGGCAGCCACAGGGGGGTAGTGAAGCAGGCGAAGCTGATTGTTCAGCCCGTCAGTGTGCGACCCTAGCAGACGGGCCTCCTCGTCTGGCGGCAGGCCAACACCCATGGCGAGAGCGCGCATCAACTCCCTCCCAACGGTGGAGCAGTCGCTGTAGAAGCGGGTCATAAAGGCACGGAAGCCAGCCAGGTCCGTGTCAACACGACCACCGGCTTCCTCGGGCGGCCAGACGTTGGCGTGGCCCGGTAACCTGTCGCTGCCGACGTCGAAGCTCTCTTTGAAATCTGGGGTCTGGCGAAGCGCTTCGGCCTCATCGTCTGTCTGAGCTTGGCCGGTGAATCCCGCCTGGGAGACCTTTTCGAGCCCTGGCCAGGAGTAGCCCCTTGGGCTGGGAGCACCTATGCGGTTGAGAAGAGGGGTTGCTCAGCCCACTGTTCGCATCGCTGAAAAGCAGACGAGTCAAGCACAGAGCGCATGCTCACCCTCAAGGTGAGGTGCCGTCTTCTTCTTCTCCAGCGGCAGGCTAAAGAACATGGTGGACCACGCGAATGCCTGGGTCACAAGCTGGTCTGACACGCCATGGTTGCTGATCTGGACGAAGCCGACATGGCGACAGGCATCGGCAATTTCTTGCGCGATTCGGTGCTGTTCTTGGGGCGAGCTGCCGTACCATGCGGCGAAGTCGACGACGGGAATTGGGGAGGAGGTGGTCATGGCTGCGGTAGAAGTCAGCTAACTCTGATACACTAAGGCCGTTGAGTCTGTGCTGAGCGTTCGTCATTCATTGAATTATTCAAGCCAGGGATGCCAGGGCTCATTCGGCTGCACGTCAATGGGGGGATCCTTGCTCCATGTGGCCCGCCTTGGCGGCTGGGGCGACCCCTGAGTTCTGGGGTTAGGCGGTGTGGGAGCTGGCATGTGGCAGAATCGGCAGCGCATGCGCGACGGTGGCCAAGCTTTGACAGCTGAAGCCAAATCCCAGCACAGACGCCCATCAATGACTATATCTGCATCTGATGCTCCAGCAGACGTTGATGCTGCCTGCTAGTCTAGGAAACACGGCTACACCATGAGGCAGGGTACGCCTGCGCCAATACGACGTCCTTGATCGCCCAAAATGCGCAAGTTCCTTGTTGGAAAGCCCAGCATCGACCACACGACCGACTCGAGCCTGCCGACGACGAGCTCTCCTGGCGTTTCGACCCGCGCCGTCTACCGCCCCAGCGCCGCCCAGAATGCCATCTTCCAGGCCGGCGCCCCGATTAGCTGTCTCGACCGCTCTGCCGACGGACGCTCTGCCGTACTCGCCGGCCGCCATGTCCTCAAGATTGTCAGCTTCGACCACCTGACGGTCGAGGAGCGCGTTGACCTGCGCGCCGCCATCAATGCCGCCAAGCCGAGCACCTCAGCCCCCATCTCGGACCAGCTGTCCATCAAGGATGTCAAGTGGGCGCCCCCGAGCAGCGGCGCCCCCGCAATCTTCACTGCTTGTGCCAATGGCAAGATCTTCCACACAGACATCTCGCGCTTGGCTGCCGGCACTCTTGACATCATCACCATGCGCGAGGACTCGCGCCAGGTCAACACCCTCGACGTCAACCCGCACCGCGGCACTTTTCTGCTCTCTGGAAGCCAGGACGGCTTCGTGCGCGGCTTTGACATCCGTGAGCCGGCCACTAACCGTGCCGGCTTCGTGTCCTTCCCCACCTTGAAGCCCCCGTTCAAGTGCAACGACGGTGTCCGCCGCGTCCAGTGGTCGCCCAAGGAGGCCTTCTTTTTCGCCTGCGGCACCGACAGCGGCGCCGTGCTCAAGTGGGATCTACGCAAGGCCACCAGCCCTCTGCTGCGCATCAATGCCCATGACGCCAACAGCGCCTGCACCTCTCTTGCTTGGCATCCTGATGGCGAGCATATCGTGTCTGCCGGCACGGATGCCCGCCTGCACGTCTGGGACGTATCTGGCCGCGCCGACAAGCGGCAGAAGCCCAAGATGACCATTTCAGCACCCTCTCCCGTCGCCTCGGTTGCTTGGAGGCCTGGCCAGTGGTCCGCAACCGCCCAGGGACGTCGCGCTGCCCAGCTGGCCGTGTCATACGGCGAGACGGGTGGTCGCCGCCTGGCCAACAGCGTCGTTCATCTCTGGGACTTTGCCCGCCCCACGATGCCCTACAAGGAGATCGACCGATTCGACCTCTCGCCCATGGCACTGCTGTGGCATGACCGCGACATGCTATGGACCGCCGGCCAGGACGGCATCTTTAGCCAATGCGACGCTGCCTTTGCTCCTAGGGTCCTTGACCGTACCCCCGTATCCACAATGGCCTTCTCCCCCCGCGGCGAGCTGGCAATGTTCCTCGACGAGAGGGCCAAGGCTCCGCGCCGTGCGCCGGCCTCCTTGCATACCGTAGAGTCTCGCCACCATGCCTCCCCCGCCTCCCCCTCGTATCCCGCTGCCAGCCCCAGTAATATGTTCAGTGTCAGCCGCAGCGACTCGGAAGACGACGTTGCCGGCAGCTTTCTGGGCACGCGCAAGGTCGGTCGGAGCAGACGGGCAAGCTTGAGATCAGGAGCCCATGCTTTAAGTACGACGCCCCCTTCGGCACCGGACGACCAACCCGTCGCATCGCTAGACCAATCATTGAAGATCACGGGAGTCTTCAGGACGCACCAGGCCATGGCTGTGGGCCCCTTACCAGCTGCCCCAAGAGTCGAAGTCTACCATTTTCTCGCGTCACAGTACCTTGAGACTCTTGATAGAGAATTTTCCCACGTGCCTGGCGGGAAGCCCATGGTGGATCGCGTCGTGCTCATCCTGCAGCATTTCGCGCGGGCAGCCGATTGTGTCAGCCAGTTCCGGTTGGCCCAGACATGGCGCATCCTCGCTTTTGCCATGGAGATGCTCCTGAAGAGCCGCGCTCAGTATCATCGCAGCAGGCGCATGAACCGAGCAAGGCTCGGGCTAGATCTGACTAAAGAACAGCGGGCCAGGTTCAAGGACGCCGGTCTCGTGTCTGTTGTCAGGCCCTCGGGAGGTGGCCAGACGACTCCCCGCAGGCTTCAACCATCAGTAGCGCTGTCGGATAAACATCTCATAGCACGGTCCTTACTGTCCGAGGAATTTGAAAGCACTTCCAACGTGCCAACCCCACTCGCTCGGCCAGTTGGAGCCGGCACTCCTGCTCGGCAGTCATCCGGTGGCCCTACCGACCACATACCACACGAGATGTCCGATGTCGAGAATTTCAGTCTGCCCCCCGCGGCGCATCCCCAAATCCTCCAACAGCGCCGGCGACTTGACTCCACCCCGTTCTCCGATGCGAGCCATGACAGCGACAACACCCAGTTCTCGAGCACAGAGGGATACGACTTCTACGACATGGAGGCTATGGCCAAGGCTGTGGACGTTCCTCAGCCTAGGCAGAGAGAGCTGCCGACCCCGGACGGCTACACGTATCCGACATCTCCAGACAGAAGGAAGCCGCCCGTCTTCCGGCATGATTCGGACGAGAGCTTTGCCCACATGTTTTCAATATCGCAGACTAGTGACAGCATCACCGGCTCGCCGATCCGAAGTCGCGGCTCGCCTAGAAGACGACCACCTGTGACGAGCGCTCCGTCGGAGCACGCAATGAGAAGGGCTAGTGAGACTGACGAGGACGGGGAGTTCCAGAGTCGAATTCGGGGCAAGAATTTAGACCTGGAGCATTCGCCAGCCTCTTCGTTGCGGAATCGTCTTCACCAGCAGCAAACCCTGCGGCAGACAGGAACTTTGGAGACGCAAGCTTCCGACGACGATTACATGCGCCGGTTGTACGACACGCAGACAACGGCTGATAGTGAGACATCCCAGCAAAGCAGCAGGCTGGATCCTTTCACCTTCGCTCAACAGCAGCCCCCGGCCGCGAGCCGCGCTGGCTCCCCATCGGTGCAACACCACAAGCCGCCTCAGCCCCGGATCAATATCTCACCCGAAGATGAGAGCAGTCCCGATTTTATAGAAGGCGACTATCTCCCATGGCAGGATGATCCGGATTATCCGTTTCCCGCGTCGGCAGCCGCTGCGTCAATGCCGGCACCTGCAGCGGATGGTGGCTACGAGCCGAAAACACCACTAGAGCCATATACCCTATTGGCACGTGCGCTCGATTTCGAAGCACAGCACTCGGCGCTCAATGCCTCAGCCATCGTTCTGCTGCTCAAGCCACTCGTCCCAGAGGGTCTGGTAGATGACTTCAGGGCTGCTTCGATACTTCGGCAGCACCACTCACGGCTGATGGGCATGAAACTCTTTGTCGAGGCTGCCCTCTTGCGCAACATGTGCGTTCAGGGGTGGCCCCGCGGCGTCCTGGAGAGTTATTGGACCGACAGGTATCCCTCAATCCTCAGCCAGGGCCAGCAAGGAGTCGTGGCTTCGTTTCTATGTTCCGAGTGCAAAAGGCCCCGTGAGATTGATCGGTCATCGGCGTCTACAGACTCGGTCTGGCATCGGTGCAAGCGTTGTAGGTCCGTCGTTGGCCCTTGTGCTGTGTGTCGGCATCACGGAGACACACCGATATTTGAGGAGGGACCTGATTTCCCGCCAGCTTGCCCACAGGAAAAGGGCGGCGACGGGGAGGAAAAGGGGTCGGCTGTGACTGCTTTGGGAGAAAGTGATTCGGTCATGGCAACCTGGTGGTACTGCGCCGGCTGCGCGCACGGCGGACACTCGACCTGCCTATCGCAATGGCACGGCGTCAGCATTCTTCTAGGAGGCGGCGGTAGCGGGTCGAGCACACCATCAGGGCCAGGGCTCAACATGCCATCGGAAGGATGCTGTCCCGTCGACGGGTGCGGGCATGCCTGCTTGCCGGGTCGGTGGAGAAGTGAGAGCACGGCGACACGCACCGAGGAAGTCGGCCGGGCGGTAATGCGTGAGGCTTCCCGCTCGCTGGCGGCCAGCTCCCGCGGGTCACCAGTCCTCCTGCCTGGAAACCACAATGCGAACAACCTGCTCACGCCCGCGGGCCTGCCCCTGCTGTTGGCCATGGCCTCACAGCACCAGCAGAGTGGCGAGTCTCCATATGGCCTCCATGTGCACAACGATTCCAATGAGGTGGCGCAGAGCAGGGCCGTGGAGGGTGTTCGCGACGCCTTGGGCGTAGGAGCTGGTGGCGGTGGTCGATCCACTGCTGCGCCGTCGCTGAGCTCGAGCCCTGGCAGGATGGGAGGGGGCATCCTGGGAGGAGGAGCGGCTGGGAGCAGTGGTGGCGGACAGGTCGGGGGAGAGCGCGAAAGGCGTAAGAGCGTCAAATTTGCGCCGGCTGATGGTGAGCGGAGATGATGGGACAGCTATTGCCCCCTTTACGCGCGCACCTTCCGCTGTATGGCGGCTAGTGTCTGTCTTCTACTCTCTGAGACATCACGCAGTCTACGGAGATCCGTGCCTCCTCCCCGCTGGAAGATTCGCCCCTTGCTACACAGGCCCCCCATCCGCCGGTTTCTGTCCTGTACTAATCGAAAGACAGAGTGTTGGCGGCCCCTGAACTGTCGTCCCGGCCTCGACGGACTGGATGATCAATTAGTGGTAAGCCATAGACCCTTGCGTCGGGTGTCACCATGTTATCTTCCACATCAAGCTAACTTGCGCCGTCTGAATTAGACGCACCCGCATTTGCCAACAGGTCGTACCTGTCTGTCATGCATGTCCGAGCACAGCACCAACGCAAGCAGGAGTCGGCGCCCCAATGTTCTGGACCGCGCTGGACCGACGTTCGCCGCCAGGCTGAGACCAGCCAATTTCAGGCTAGCCCCATCGCTCACTATCTCTCAGCCGCAAACAATGCATTGTGCACAGCAGCCAAGGCTGGGGTTTAGGTTGTTCAGCCGAACGCCAGATATACGAATCCAGGCCATCGATGAAAAAGAGCTAGTGGATTTCCTAGCGCCGCCAGTGCTATCACACTTAAAATACATTACTATTGCGTTGTTTTGCTCGTCGAGGACAAGCTTTCAGCCGAGGACTAGTGAGGCATGACGCACAAGTGGGCCGTGTGCATACCCCTTCAATACCGACTCAGCTAGCCTCACGCGGGGCTACAGCCATCGGCCGAGTATACCTCACACGCGTCCGAGTGCCTGGCTAGCAGCCTCGCCGCCCTTGCATGCTATCAGGTGTGCTCACAACTGCACGCCACGGGCACCTTTCCAGGCACGCTACTGGGTACTCTCTAGGAGGTACCCCGTTGCCCCTTGAGCGGGCGGCGGAGGCGGCAAAACAGAAAACGATGGAGCCCACGATAGTTTCGAAGAAAAAAAGGCACCGCTGGACGAGATGGGCATGGCCTCCTGACAGTGGCGCCCTGAGCTCCGCGGCCGGAAGGCGAAGGCGCTTCAGCTGGCGCGCCAGGGGCTTAGTCACGATGAGCGTCACAGGGTCGTCGAGCACACCCGCGGGCTCGCGTGTAAGTCCTCGTGGCCGAGCGGGAGAGGAGGCACTCAGGGGGGCCGAGGCAATCTCGTTGATGGCCTATTTAACGTCGTCGAGTCGGTCAGTCTTGGTTGTCGTTGGATTCCTCCCTCCTCACTCGGCATCGGCTCAAGGGATCTGACACCCGACACTCTTTTCGCGCTTCGCCAGCAGTCGCTCTTTCTTGCTTTCGCCGCTCCAGGCACCTCACATTCGCTTTAGCAGCCTCACGCTCGCTATCTACACTGGGTTTTTTTTTTTTTTTGCAACTCCCCACTGCTTTCGTTGTCAGCAGATCTCTGCCCCCTTAGTCTTAATCATAATAACCCACCCCCCTAAGCCAAGATGCGCTTCACTGCTCTGGCCTCGGTGGCCGCGCTCTTCGGAGCCTCGGCCGTCATGGCGGCGCCCGCCGGCAACAAGGGCAACGCCTGCAACGATGACTGCGCGCGCGCCTTCCAGGGCACCAACGTCAAGGAGAACGTCCTCACGTCCATCGCCAGCTACTGCTCGACGTTCACGACCGGCGGCACCCCCGCGGCGACGCCGGCCCCTGTCGCCAACAAATGTGACAACACGCCGGCCCGCGTCAGCACCGCCTGCCTGTGCAACGCCATCTACATGGCGACCAGGTCCGCGGATCCGGCCCCCTCGCCGACGCCCGTTGACGTGCAGACGCTGTCGTCGACGGCAACCGTCATCACCACCGTCACCGTGGTCACGTCGGGCACCAGCACCTTCGAGGTCCTCACCACGATCTCGGCCACGACGACCGTCCTGGAGGGCGTCACGGTGGTCGGCACGAGCACCGTCGTCTCCAACGTGACCGAGACCTCGACCGTCTCGGTTGCCAAGACGGAGGAGTCCACGACGTGTAAGTTTGAGGAAAAAGGCCTCGGCATGATTCTTGTTTCCAACGCGCACTGACATTGTTGTCGCTCAGCCACCACGACCACCACCACTGCCACCGAGACTTCCTCCACCACGCAGACGGACACGACGACGACCACCAGCACGGAATCGACGACGACCACTGACGTCTCCACCACTTCCACCACGGATATCGTTTCGACCACCACGACGGGTACTGAGACTACCTCCACCACGGAGGTCGTCTCTACCACCACAACTGGCACCGAGGTCACCTCGACGACGACGACTGGCACTGAGACCACCTCTACGACGGAAGTTGTATCTACCACCACGACGGGCACCGAGGTTACCTCTACTACCACGACGGGCACTGAGACCACCTCCACAACAGAGGTTGTGTCGACCACCACGACTGGTACAGAGGTGACTTCTACTACTACGACTGGCACCGAGACTACCTCCACAACCGAGATCGTTTCAACGACCACCACCGGCACTGAGGTTACGTCGACGACAACTACCGGCACGGAGACCACGTCGACGACCACCACCGGAACTGAGGTTACGTCAACGACAACCACCGGCACGGAGGTTACGTCGACGACTACGACGGGCACCGAGGTCACTTCAACCACCACGACAGGCACTGAGGTTACCTCGACCACCACCACAGGCACCGAGGTTACCTCGACTACCACCACGGGTACTGAAGTGACCTCTACTACCACGACCGGCACAGAGACGACATCAACGACCACTACTGAGGTGACGTCGACCACCACGACCGGCACCGAAGTAACGTCCACAACTACTACCGGCACCGAAACCACGTCGACCACCACGACTGGCACTGAAGTGACTTCGACCACAACAACCGGCACAGAGGTCACTTCAACGACCACCACTGGCACAGAAACCACTTCAACCACCACGACTGAGGTGACATCTACAACTACCACCGGCACCGAAGTGACCTCGACCACCACTACCGGTACCGAGACAAGCTCTACCACTACTACCACTACCGGCACTGATGTGACTTCGACCACTACCACCGGAACTGCCACCTCGTCGGTCACCACCACTGACACCGCAACCTCGTCGACCACCACCACGGGCACGGCCACCACGAGCACCAGCACCACTAAGACCTTCAGCACCAGCCTCACCACCACCTTCAGCACCAGCACTACCAAGACCTTCAGCACAAGCACCACCACAACATCGCTCGTGGTCTCGACCGTGCTCTGCAACTCGATCAAGAACTACGGCTTCGAGTCGGGCACGCTCGCCAACTGGACCCCGTCGGGCGCCGGCGCATCTAACGCCGGCGTCGTGAGCGGGCCCCAGGGCCCCAACAGCGCCATCCAGGGCAACAGCATGGTCGCGGTTCAGGGCGGCGCCGTCACAATCACCCAGAGGGTCCCCCTCTGCCCCGGCACCAAGGAGATTGAGGTCTCGGCCTACTTCCTGGCTGTCGTCGGCACCTGCAAGGCCACGGTCTGCGTCGGCGGCACCAACCACTGCATGGCCCGCACCGGCCTCTCGCCCACCAGTGGCTGGACCACCGTCACCGCTGGCTTCAGCAACATCCCGGCCGGTACCGCCGACCTCGATGTCGCCGTCAGCATCACGTGCACGGCCAACGACGCGGCCGGGTCCGCCAAGCCCGCCGGCTACCTCGACTGGGTCGTCATGGGCTAAATCGCAGGCTTGGCCACCTCCCGTCGCGGTAGCGGCCGGTGAGGGGAAGTGAGAGAGAGAACAGAGAAAGCTAGCGATTCACGACACATTTTCGAGCCCCCGGGGAGTAACCCGGTTATTTCGCCCTCTCCCGTGGCACGACTTCGCTCGCCCTGCACTCGGCAAAAACGCTCTCCTCCTTCCTCCACACCCCCCCAGCTTATCCCGGCTTTTTCACGCTTCCATTCTTGATTTCGGAGTTTTAGGATCAACGGCTGTAGAGGATGGGCTTGTTTTAATAATGAAAGGTCTGGGGAGGTGCTTCCTTGTAGGGAAGCAATCGGCACAAACACGGCTTGGATGAACAAATTTCTTCTATATAAACCCCTCTTCAGCTTGGAGCGGTTTAGATTATGCTGTTGATATTCAGACTTCCGACAAGAATAGACACATATACGCTCCTCGAACTTGCCGTCCCAACCATTCCAAGTGCCAAAGAATTCAAGACGGCGGCTGACGTTTGTAGGCGAATACAAAGGCAATGTTTGCCCCTTGATCTGTTCTCACATCTGGAAACAATAACACGAACAGCGAGGAGAGAAAGATACAAGTATGACTTAATGCATTGAGTTGCTAAAAATACTAAACGAGCGGCTAGGCACAGAGATCACCATGCCTGGGTAATGGCCAAGAATATGTGCAAGATATTGATGGCGCATCCTTCGTATATCCAAACTCCCCCTCCCCATTCTTCCTCAAGGGTCGCCTCGCGAGCCAAGACAAAGGGCGACGCTGATGTTCCGAACCGAAAAAGACCGTGTTATTACCCGCGGCCTCCCCGTCAAAAAAGCACCTGTCGTCCCATGCTTGGGCGGCTGGCTTAGAAGCGCTTGTGCACGGCCTGTGCGTTGTTGTTGGCGTTGGGGTTGGCGTTTGCGTCCGCGGTTGCGTTGTTGTTGTTGTTGTTGTTGGCATTGTTCGCGTCGGCGTTGTTGGCCTTGTCGGCGGCTGCCTTGTCGGCGGCTGCCTTGTCGGCGGCTGCCTTGTCGGCGGCTGCCTGGTCGGCGGCTGCCTGGTCGGCGGCCGCCTTGTCCGCCGCCGCCTTGTCCGCCGCCGCCTTGTCCGCCGCCGCCTTGTCCGCCGCCGCCTTGTCCGCCGCCGCCTTTGCCGCGTCGACCGCCGCCTGGTCGACCTGGATGCCGCAGGCCTGCTGGACGTCCAGGATGGCCTGGGTGTTTGCGTCGGCGAGCGCCTGGGCGGCGTCGACGGCGTCCTGGTTCTTGTTCTTGTTGGCCTTTGCGTCCTTTGCCTTTGCGTCCTTGGCGTTAGCGTCGTGGGCCGCCGCCGCGTCGGCCGCGGCCTTGGCGTTGTGAGCGGCTGCCGCTTCGGCGCCCG